ATCACCATCATCATCTTCAGCATCAGCATCAGCAGCATCATCATCGTCAGCATCATCAGCATCATCAGCATCATCAGCATCATCAGCATCATCATCATAATCATAATCATCATCAGCATCATCAGCATCATCATCAACATCATCACCATCATCATCAGCATCATCAGCATCATCATAATCATCATCGTTGTCGCAATCATCATCATCATCAGCAGCATCATCATCAGCAGCATCATCATCATCATCAGCAGCATCAGTATCATCATCATCAGCATCAGCATCATCATCATCACCACCACCACCATCATCATCACCATCTTCCTCCTCCTCCTCCTCATCCTGCTCTGCCTCCTCCTACTCCTCCTCGTCCTCCTCCTCCTCCTCCTCCTCCTCCTCCTCCCCCCTCCTCCTCCTCCGATCATCCCCCTCTGTCCTCCCTTTTTGGGATACGACGTCTTACCCATCCCCTTCTGCCACCACATGCTCCACACAGCCCATCCAGAAACGACACCCAGGCGAGTGATCACTGATAAGGGAAACTCGTCTAGCCATCGTTTCTAGATCCGCCAGCCCCATTGTGGGGCCACCAGGCTGTAGGACCAGGATGTGCTGTTCCCTGCACCAGTTCAAGTTTCCAGTTTCCAATGTTACAGGTCTGCCTTATGCTGCTTATACTGTTCCTTGTTGTAGACCGCGCGAGGGGGGGAGCCGAAAAGCACCCTGTCTAGCACCTCCTGGGAGGGTTCTCAGAATTTCTGGGGGGGTCGAAACTGACACCCCTTACGCAGATCGCCGGCGCCAGGGTCGAAAAACACATGGGATTTGCAATATTTCCGAAATTTGGCGGCACCCCTCACGCAGATCGGCGGGGTCAGGGTCGAAAAACCAATCGGATTCGCCACATTTCTGAAATTCGGCGGCACCCCTCACGCAGATCGCCGGGGTCAGGGTCGAAAAACACATGGGATTTGCCACATGTCTTGAAATTCGGTGGCCTCCCTCACGCAAATCGGCGGGTTCAGGGTCCAAAAACACAAAGGATTTGCTACATTTCTGCAAGTCGATGGCACCCCTCCTGCAGATCGGTGGGGCCAGGGTCGAAAAACACAAGAGATGCCCCACATGTCTTGAAATTCGGTGACCTCCCTCACGCAGATCGGCGGGGTCAGGGTCCAAAAACATGAGGTCTTTGCCACATTTGTGAAACCTGGTGGCACTCCTCATGCATATCGGCGGGGTCAGGGTCGAAAAACACATGGGATTTGCTACATGTCTTGAAATTCGGTGGCACCCCTCACGCAGATCGGCGGGGTCAGGGTCGAAAAAATACATGGGATCTGCAACGTGTCAATACTTCGTAGAGAAGCTTTTTGCACAGCATACGCGAGCAAGCTCGAAATGCAACACCGAATTCAACAGTATCATCATAATCTCAATGTGTCTTGTCGATTGCTCATCGTCTTCGCGCGAAGTCTCGACGCTGCTTCACGGCGGCGCCAAGGCCCCATGATTTCGCTCTTGCATTGCCCATTATCCGAGAGAGGGGGCCAGCGGCAGCGGGCGAAGTCCTTACGGATAAACTGGTGGGTTTGGGTGAAGCGTCTAGAGTTCTGAAGCCCAACCGAGCTGGTCCTTTCAGGGCAACAGGAATTCCCAGCGCCAGCTCTGACGATGAAGCGGGTACTTGCAGGGTAGCAGCAAATATAATCGCAAGTGTGTTACTGCGATAAGAAACTGAAAACTGGAATGCGGCGATTCAGGACCCCCCCTTCGGAATGTTCCAAGCATTCCGGGCCGTGTATGCTGCGCTCGCTCTGGCTGAAAGTAAGCCTCACCGATCCTCACCACTATCCTCTCCCCGCTTCCCGCATGTCCTCAATCATCGCACCAGCCCACTCAGCGTCCCGACCTCGTCCCCCTGCATCTTCCCGTTTCCTCTCATGATGTTCCTTCCTGTCTCCAAGCCCACCCGTTCCTTTTTCCCATCCCCCCTTCCATGGTGTGTACTCCTCCTCTTTCTCATCCGACTGAATGTGTACCCACTCTGATTTTCCTGGCTCTCATATTCCTCACCTTGATCGTCCTCAACCTGTGCATCATCACTGAAATATCCCTCCCGCTTCATCGTCCTTCCTGCCGTGGAAGCGATGTCGCGTTGTATCAAACGGTTGTTCCCCCTTGGTTCGCAGTGCCGGATATGCCTTCAATCCCTCCCCTCGGACACTGTGGTTCCATGCGGAGGCCCAAACTGAATCGAAATGATGGTGCGTAGCTCGATGTGGCCAGGCGAAGGTGTGCTACGTTTTTGCATTCTCGAGCGGCCCAGCGCGCGCGAAAGACCTCTCACAAAGGTAAAGTGGACCGACCTCAACCTCTCACAAAGGCGGTAATGAATCCGAACAAGCACGTGGAGAATCCGTTGCGCGAACCACAAAAACAGCAGTTTCAACAACACAAACAATCAAATTAAACGGGTTCCCTCTCACATGCTCGAATGCGATTCAACCTGTAGCTCGCAGGCCAAGCCGCGAGCCCCGAAATGAACACGTCAATCGAAGAAAAGAGGCACTGGATGGGGGGATGATCGCGCCCCCCTAGGAGGATACATCTTCTTTCCCTACCATGCGCAATTGGCGCAACCCCTGACGCACGAAGAACATTAAGAATAAAAAAGGGGGACGGCAAGGAAGAAGGGAGCGGAGGAGAGGAGGGATGAGGGATAGGGGCAACAGGGAAGGAGGGAGAAGACGGAGGACGCGAGGGATTAGCAAAAGGGGATGGCCAAGGAAGTCCCAGGCAAGAGCGCGACTCCTGAAGTCCCGAACGAAAGCGCGATTCCAGGGCACTGAGGAAGCGATTCGTAGATAAGTTGCACGAAAGTCTCAGGCGAGAGCGCGACCCCTTGTAAATTGCAAAGAAATCCCGCGCGAACGACGGTTTTCTCAAAAAGTTGTGGGAAGTATCAGGCCAGAGACATTCTTGTAGTTCGGGGGCCAACACCGCAGGTTCGACACCCAACTTGCTCTCTTGTCAGAACACGGTGCGAGCCATGGGATGGGCACTTCAATTAAAAAACAAGGGGCACCGGAGGGGGGATCAACAAGAGTTTGCTTCAGAACTGAAACTTCAGTAACAACCACGCCAATAATGAGAAAATGTTCGCTCATAACTTCGCGCGTCAAGAATGTGTTTCTCTTCAATCCTCGACGCCCCCCTCCTCGTTTTTGACCGTACCCGACTTAATATTTTCGGGGGAGATATTTTCGCCCCTGCCACGCGTAGTTCGCGCAACCCCGGAAACATGAAGGACAGAAAGAGACGAAATGACAGAAGAGCGAGGAGGAGAAAGGGAGCAGTCTTGGGCAAAAGCGCAATCCCTGCATCTATCATGAGGGGTCGGGAACGACAGCACGATTGCAGAGCGCCGAGAAAGCGACGCGTTGATAAATCACACGGAGGTCTCAAGCGAAAGTGCGACTCGTAGATAAATCGAATGGAAGTCTCGAATGGGGCTCCGATTCTTCAAAAAATTGTTAAGCCTCCGACGGGAGTCCTTGTTGTGGTAGTTCGGGGGCCAGGAGCTCAATCTGACGCGCAAGACTCCCCTTGTGGACAGCAAGGCGCGAACACCAGGAGGAAACCATCAGGGGGGAAACACCAGGGAGGGAACAGCAACAACTTTTCTTTAGAAGGCTCAACTACTGCACTAACAACAACCAGAACAACAACCACAACCACAACCACAACCACAACAACAACCACAACCACAACAACAGCAACAACAACAACTACTACTACTACTACTACTACTACTACTACTACTGCTACTACTACTACTACTACTGCTACTACTGCTACTACTACTACTACTACTACTACTACTACTACTACTACTACTGGCCGGTCTCGTGCACCACTTCACCACGGCTCAACCACCTAGGGAAGAGCGTCCTTGTGGCTGCCTCATTACCAGTATGTAGCGCGCACCTCTTCTGGGTGAAAGGGCGGGTCTGACATGCTTGCAACGTCGGGCGCTCGCACCGTGGGCAGTTGGGCCAACAGCCTAAGGTGAAGCGCCAGCAACGGCACGGCAGCACACGGGGCGACCCCAGCACCGCCATCCAGGCCGACTAGAGCGGAAAGACGCGAGGTTAGGCCTGAATGACAAGCCAAGGGCAGGTCTGACGTGCATGCAGCAAATGGCGCCTGGCCGAGGGCAGCTGGCCCCTACAGCAAAAAGTAAGACGCAGGCGGCAGCATAGCAGCACACGGGGCGACCCCAGTACCGCCACCCAAGCCTACAAGCGCAAGAAGGCGCGAGATGAGGCCAGGATGGCAAGCCAAAATGGCCAGGCGCCCGACGGCGACGCTGCAGTACACGGGGCTGCCCCAGCACCGCCAGCGAGGCCAACGGGCGCAAGTGAACGTGAGGAGGCCGAGATGGCAAGCCAGTTGGCGAGCCAAGGTGGCAGAGTGCACAGGTAGCCAATTGCCTAGCCTAGGCACAGGCTACATGTGACGCCACGCGGGTGGGGGCGCCGCTATGGGCCCGCCGCACTACAGAAAGCCGCAAGTAGACAATTTGGCATGTACTCACGCGGCCTGCCGGGGCCCTGGAACCTGCTGGGCATTATTCCTCAGGCCTGCCGGCCTGTTCCCTGCGCGATGGCGGCGAAGACCTGCGACGGCAGCGCCCGCACCTCCCCGCCGAGGTCGCCACTGCCCCCCGCCTGCCCTGCAGGCCAAAAGATCTGACGCTCGAGGTCTTCACCGAGGGCCACGTTCAGGGCTGCAGCGCTTGGGGCCAGCTGCGGGAGCACGTCCGTCTGCGGTGGCGGGTGGGTCGGCGGCGGCGGCACATCAGGGGGCGTCGTCGGCGGCGGCGGCGGGGGGCCCATGGTGGCCACGGCCTCTGGCGGGACTCCCGCTGGCGGCGGTGGCGGGCCCTCGCTGCCTCGGGCCCCGCTCGCCGGCGGGGCACTGGCGTTGCAAACGGGGGCGGCACGCGGGGCGCCCCCTGTACCACCCCCGCCGCCCGAGAGGCTGCCCGCTTTCAGGATGTGGCGGCGCTCGTAGTGCGCCCATTCCCTGTGCGCCATCTCCAGGCGCTCCCTCTTGGCTTTGTTCCGCGTCTTCTTGCTGCACCCCGCCCATTCGAGGTCGTTCAGCCCCCGGGCGACCTGCGCGTAGAGGTCGGTCCACTCGAACGTGGGCAAGCTCTCCCAGTCGAGCCCCTCCATCAGCACATAGTGGCCCTCCCAGTGTGCCTGGTGTGGAGCGTAGCGCTTGAAGACGGTGCCAACCGCCATCGGTTCTACCTTGGGCAGGTGCTGCAGAAGGTCCACCGCGCTGAGCACTGTGATCCCCTCCTTCTTGACCTTGTCGTAGCGCAGCAGGGCCTTCAGGTCGCGGATGTCCTCCTCGGGATGCTCCGCGTGCATGTAGTACGCGCGTGGCGGCTTCGCCTCCTCCTCTATGAGCTCGATGCAGACTCCGTAGGAGGTCGAGCAGCGCGCCGCAATGGCAGTACCAGCGCTGGCCCGTCTCTCCCGCTGCCTCCTGGGCGCATGAGAGCAGCTGTGTCCAGCGATCCGATCGGATCACCGAACAACACCCTCTGGGATTATCCCAGGTCTTGTTGGCCGCGCATTTGTAGTACATGTTGAACGTGAAGCCCTTGTCACGGTAAAACTGGTCCGTGTAGTCGCCCATGCGGCGGTGGGCCTCCTGCGCCGCGGTGTTACCCTGGCACTCCTCCTTCCAGGCACGTTTGTGTCCCAGGTGGGCATCTGCAATCCCCGAAGCCTCCAGGGCACCCCTCTTCAGCCTTCCCACGTCCTCCTCCGCCTCCGCGTCCAGCGCGTCGAGCCACTTCTGGACTCCGTCCTGCGCCTCGGTGCCCCTCACCATGTCCTCCTTCTTCTCCAGGATGGCTCCCAGGCCGCCCAGCATGTGGGTGCGCATGGTCTCGAATTTGAGGACGCCATAGGCTCGCGCCATGCGCTTCAGCGACTTCTTGGATAGGCCAAGCCGCAGCAAGGGCTCGATGTCCGTTACCTCCTTCACGGTCTGGGCCTCGGTCAGCTAGGGCCCCTGGTGCTCCGCGTCCGCGTCGGGCTGGGGGTCGTTCTCCCCATCACTGTGAGGCTCATCCTCGAGGGGCGGGGGTGGCGCACGGGGCGGCCCTGGCACCACCCCCGCCTCCCTCGCCATTGGGCGACCCACCTCCTTCGCCACTTCTTCCGTGGCTGGGCGGGCGCCTGTACTCTCGGGGTCGATGCCCACCCCCACTCCTTCCGTTGACCTCCGCAGGGCAAGCAAGCCCTCCTCAGAGAGCGCGAACCCCACCAGGACGTCCATGCCCTCCTTGATGTAGTCAAAGCTCGCACGGAACTTCGCTACCCGCTTGGCGGCATGGTCAATGGAGCCTGGGCCCTTGTTCGCGCGCGCAGCGCGCGTCACGGCCTCGTGCTCGGAGATGCCCTCCGACGTCGCCGCGCAGTTCGAGCACATGTACAGCTTGAGCTGCCCCTCTTTACCCCTCCTCAGTTCGGGGTATTTTTCGCTGTCCTCCTTGGCCACCGCATAGCGACGCATCTCCGCACAGTTGAGCTCGTCCACGTACTCCACCGCCATGATCTTTCAGTCGTCCAGCGCCGTGCAGCTCCGACACCAGCCCAGGCGGTGCGGCGGTACCCAATATGCACCCATGCAGTGTACGTACCCCGCCTCGGCGTAGTCCTTCTCTGGCATCATCTCTACGTCTTCGAGCGCGGCTGGCGTGCCATCGCTCGGCTGGGGGGCCTGGCCGTAGACGGCTTTATTGCTGCGTCGGCGGTGGCGCTTGCCCCCACGTCCGCTGAGGGCTCCCGCGGTCGCAGCACTCGGGGCCTCACTGGCGGCCCCGTCGTCCACGGCGCGCCCCCCGTCTGCCTCGCTGCGCGCCCCGCGGCCGCCACGGCCGCCCACAGCATGCTCCCTCAGCTGAAGGTTGTGGAGCGCGAGGGTGAGCGCGTCCAGCCCGCGCCGCTGCTCTGCGGTGAAGTCGGCATACGTGGCTGCCGCCGCCAGGGCGGCTGATGTCACTGGCACCACCGCCGATGCAGGCATCGCCGAGGCGCCATCGGAGGCGGCGGCACTGGGGGCGGCCCCCGCACCGCCGCCTCCATCGGCGTCCTCAGCGGGGGTAGCTGATCCCGTGTGCACCGTAGGTGCCGTCCGAAAGGTCGCCGCCTCGGACACCATGTCGTACTCCTCGCCTTCGCTCCCCGACAAGCTTACCTGCTGGACAGGGCGCTGCATCGGTCTTGCTTTGGAGGTTGGTGCCTCCCCCGCGGCGTACGCCTTTGCTGGCCACGGCATCGGCACAGGCTTCGAGACCTTGGCCGCCATCACTTGGTCGGGTGGATGGCACGAGAGGTGCAGCTCGAGATAATGTGCGAGGCAGATACTCACGAGCCAAACAGCTGACGGGGGGGGAAGGGGAGGGGAGGAGGCTTCACACCGAACCAAAATGGGGCGGCCAACTGCCAGGGCGGGACAAAGGTGACACAGGAAGACGATGGGCTGAAGCCAGCGGTTCCAGATGCGTGGGACCCGTGCATTATGTTGGCGGGAAACGGCCCGACCCCCGTTCGGGGGCCTGGAC